CTCGTGTAGGGAAATGATTAAATTTTTATTTGTTAAAGGTCCATAATGTTTAGTACATGTTGAAAGGCACGTTGTTAGAAGGGTTGGATCCCAGAGAAAGATTTCAGATCTCATTATTCTCTACAAGAAAGGTGGTTCCTAAACATGCCAGCTTTAATATTAGTATTTAATAACTTTTATGTCATTATATTTGATTTTTTCAATATTCTAGGCAGCAGACCAATAAAAGTAAACCCTGCCAGCAAAATTTTGCTTCTGGTTCTTTCGGCAATACTTTGTACAACACCCAAAAGAAAACCATATTAAAAACTCAAACAACTTTGGCACCAAATACCATGTAAAAGTATTACTTTATAAGAGACCTGTGTATCTTCTAAAAATGTATTCTTTCCTAAACAAGGTTAAAAAAAAAATTAGTGATGGTAAAAAACAAAAAAAAAAAAAACAAAAACAACAACATCAGTCAGAGTGGTTTGTTCATGTTAGTGGACATAGTATGGACACAACGCTCTGGATGAATTAGATGATGTATCAGCCTGGGGAGCAGGGCCACTGTACACAGTTGTGTCACTGGAGAAGGTGAAGACTGGAAAGGCAAGTTGAAGGATCAGAGTAGACATCCTTAACTAGTCAACCTGGCTAGGTAAGCACATCCAGCCATTAAAAGGAGACCTTCAGGGGAAAGCCACAAGAACAGTTATTTCTGTGTAGCTACTGTCTCGGCCAAGTATCCAGTAATGAACTGGAGCTAGTGATACTCAATGGTCCTAGCATTCAGGAACACAACGAGATGGCAAGGACAGGTTGCAACCCACCAGGCAGTTCTGTGATAGTAAAAAGAAAAGAGAAATGTATTCTGCTTACTTCAGCCTTCTAAATTTCAGACGTACGGCTCTTTTGGACAATCTAACCAAGAGAAATAGTTCCCGATTTAACCAAACTGACACAGCAACACCTACCACAGATGAATAGCACATAATTCAGATATACACAGAAAAACTTTCATTAACTCATCTGCTTAACACAACAGATACAGTTTGCAAAAAAGGTAAAAATAAAGTTATATAAACTTTAAAATTCATATTCCTTCATGATAAGGTATATCCTCAAAGTATCTCACTATACTCTGCCCATCATTCTGCAATTTTTCTAAAGTAAAAGAGTGTCAAATAAGAGTTAACGTTCTTAGCTCTGCCCAGGAAATCCATTTTGTTTTGGCCATGAACTGCTAAAGCTACCACCCAGATGCTACTGCATACACTACACAAATTAACATAAAAGGTCAAAAGACAAAGTGTGACCAACATTTATTTTATCATCTGATTCTGGATGAACCCATACCTCGTGGAATTTCCTTTAGCATTCAAGTGAACCGGAAAGATTTTCATTTTGAACCTATTTCTTCGCTCTAAATAATGGTATCTCTTTGCTAGGCACACATAGAGATCATGTGATCATGGAATTGCTTGGTAATTGACAGCTCTGTCATCCTGGGAGGAGGATGAATTAGAACTGCCTGGGTACTAGTGTCTGTCAGCATTTGCCTCATACAAAGCCTAGGAACTGATGGTCACTTATGTATGTCTTCAGTGTCCATCTGTGTAACTTCTCAACGTCCTTGTAGCTCCTGCCCTCTCCTGACTGCCCTCCAGAAGTCAGTACCTGGTTTGACATGCAAAGTCCTACAGTAAAAAAAAAAAAATCAAGAAGAGACAAATACTATGTCTCAGTTCATTTCTGTTTATTTTTTAAAAGCAGATTTTCTTGCCAAAGTCTGTAACAAAGAGATCGGGGGTTTTAGAACATAAAACAAAAAGCCCTTGACAACTCCAAGAGGCCCTCCTGCCCATGACAGAATAAGTGTTTCCATTGTATGCCTCTTCCCACACATTCCATTCCCCACCTTGAACTTTCCCACCAGAAAAGCACAAACACAGAAGAGATTTCCAGTAATCTACCAGACTGAAAAAAATGTTTCCCAGGATCTTTATTTTCCATTCAATAACATGAACTCGGGACAAACCACTAGAAGAAAGTAACAACCCTATTGTTTTTGCTATCCTCTTTTCAGTCTGATTCTGTATCCTCTGTTTGCCTCATCGTTTGTCTTCTCTTGTTCTTACAGACACTTACCATTGCAAGGCTCAGAGTCTAGTAGTAGAATCAGATATTTTATAAATGGCTTCCCAAGTAATTATTTATAATTTTGATGCTGGGCAGAAAAAAACAGGGCACTGACCTAACCTAGACTGGGGAGGGGACCAGAGGGCAGGAAAGTGAACACTTACCTAATATCTAAGGAATATGTAACAAGATAAGAAGGCAGTCAAGTTCCAGAAAGGAGGAAACTTTTATTGGAGCTCCAGCTGCATCAGTGCTTAATTCTCTAGAAAAAAAACTGCTAAAAATGATACTTTAATGTGAGGATTGTGAAATAATACTCAAATTTTTGTCTAAGATATAGCTATCATATCTTAATAACAAATTATTTCATTAATTTCAAGAAAGATGGCAGATATAGTCTAGCCCAGCAATATTTAGGCTATAAAATAGAATATTTGGATAAAAAAGCCAAAGAAATTTATAGTAGCATAACATTTATAGGATTAATTATGAAATACAGGCAAATTCCTATACTTCATATTCAATATTTTAAGAAAACAATATAAACCATGGCTGACTTTTCATATCATTAAGATGGATTCTAATTTACATAATCTCATTTTAAAACAGTAACAGGTAGTCAAGATTGAGTGATAATTTAATGTATGTGTGTGATTAACTACCCTCTATCAAAAATATGTGGACAGCGACCACGCCATCTTGGGAAACAGAGCTGCTTGAGACTAGGATCCTGGCCTCAGCACCACCCAGTCTGATCTCAGACGCATACCAGGACCCTGCAGCCACTGGGGACAGAGACCTGCGACCACAGCTACAGACCTGCGGACACCAAAAGTTC